CCCCCCCCACACCCCACCCCAGAGCCAGCCGCTGGCCTGGCACCCGTGCCTGTCACTGTGGCCCCATGCCTGTCACCGCTGCCCCGTGCCCATCACCGCAGCATCTGGCTTCCTGCAGGCAGCCCTAGGGCAGCTGGTTTCCAAATGCACGGCCTGGGTTGGGCCCCGATACAGCACCCCGGGGGCAGGCCCTGGCCATGAGGTTGGGCAGGAGCTGGGTGCGAGGGGAGACCACCGCGGCTGCAAGGCGGGCAGCTGGGCCTGCGGGTGAGGAGTGGCTGGCCAGGGGCAGGTGGGGTTGGGAGCTCCTGGTAACCCGCAGGGGAGGGAGACTGAGCACGGCACAGCACAGCGCGGCATGGTGGCACTGGGCTATCTTGGCAGGGCTGCACGGCCATGGTGGAGCAGGGGCTGCAGCAGCCCCAGACACCGGAGCCAGGGGGGACGAGGCCGCGCGGGTCCTTCCCGCCGGCACCAAGATGCTTGGACGTCTCCATTCGGCTACTCCTGGCGCCTGGGCTGGATCCAGCCCCACTTGGGCTCAGACTCAGCCCAGACTGCTGCCCCCCGGGCCCGGGGACCCCTCGGAGCTGCCCCAGGGGCCCCGGCCCACCCCATCTTCGTGCCCCCAGCGGGGAGGGCTGTGCTCCGAGCTGGGTGTTGGAGCCCGGGCCCAAGGGACTGCACGGCGGCGGTGACGGCACAGAGCCAGGCCCGGTCCCGGCGGCACGGAGCCGACGGACGGGAAGGCGGCACATCAGGCTTCCTGGCGGCTTCCCGGAGGATGCTGGGCCCGGACACGGCACTGGGGAGCGTGGCCGCCCGCATTGTTTGGTGGCTTCGTGGCCTGGGAAAGCCTGGGGCAGTCGGGATCTGGCCCAGAGCCTCGTCCCCAAAGCATCCCCCCACCAGCTGCAGGGGGGCTGGGGGTCCCCTCAGCCACAGCAGCAAGAGGGAGGTCTGGGCTCGAGGTGGGGTCAAAGCAGCCCTTGGCCAGGGCCTGGTGAGGGTCCCAGGCTGGCGCAGCCCCTCAGGGCGGCATCTCGCTGGGCTCCGCCCTGGCGCC